GAGAATTCAAAGGTCGTCGTGTTCTCATTCAGATACAAAAAACAAACTTGATAACAGGGAAAGACAATTTATACAGCATGACAATGAGGCTGTCCATTGGTTGGACTAGTGTTGATAGCAAGATGCAACAAAAACAGTTAATCTTAGATCCTTGACCTGTCATGGCCATTCTGATTGGTCAGAGTATTGCTATGAAATACATCAGCAATTGACAGTCTTCATGGTCTTTTTATTGTCAATGTGAAAAGGTGCAATGTATGTACGGATTCCTGTTGCTGACATAAAACAGGGTCCTATGTGTTAATATGTTGAGCCATCAGCACACCACACAATGAACCCTAAAGATAATCTTAAATTGATTTTTGGTGTAATTCTCAGCGTGGTTCAGTCTATTTAATCAATAATGTCCAACAGAATCACATCTAAGGTGGACATACTGTTTAGAGGCTTGTAGCTCGGGCTGGCAGAGTTCAGTTGATGGGCTGCCTGCTGCGAATGGTCAACTGGATGTATTGATCTCCACAGTCCAACACACAACCTACATACCTGGCATCACACCACCACTTAAACTCATTTATCATTTGCTTGACAGTAGCATGCTGTTAGAGCAGAAAACCACTTGAGTGGTTATTACTCAGTGGCAGGGTGAGACTGATAGCTTCAACTGATGATTGTGTCTGGTCTTAGCGAATGGAAAGACCTGACTTCACTTTGTATGTGGTAAACTCCTTTGGAAATGGTTAAAACAGCTGACAGAGCTATTTGACCAATTCTGTGCAGAGTCTAACATAGACTGGGTCTGCCATAGTATTAAGGGCTTAGATGGGGTGGAATTTGTTAAATGTATTCAGAAAAGTTTCCTGAAGCAGTATATAGAGGGTCCTACTCAGGAAGGGGCAAAACCTGACCTACCCTTGGGAAATAGAGCAGGACAAGTGAATGAGGTGACAGTGGGGGGAGCACTTTGGCACCAGTGACCTTAGTTCTATTAATTTTAAAACAGTTATGGAGAAGGACAAAACTGGTCCACAGGTTCAAGTTCTAAATTGGGGCAAGCAAATTTTGATGGAATTAGACAGGAGCTTGCAGGGGTTGATTGGAGTAGTTTGTTTGCAGGCAAAGGGATCTCTGGCAAGAGGGAGGCCTTTTAAAAGTGTGATAGCTAGAGTTCAAAGTCTGTATATTCCTGTGAGGGTGAAGGGCAACGTTGGCAGGAGTACGGAACTTTGGATGACAAGAGATATTGTGGCTTTGACCAGGAAAAAGAAGGAGGCATGGCTCAGGTACACACAAGTGCGATCGAGGGAATCCCTGGAGGTATATAGGGGATACAGGAGTTTACTGTAGAAGGAAATCAGGGCGAAATGGGGGTATGAGTTAGCTTTGGCTGAGAATATTAGGGTGAATCCAAAGAGATTATTTAAGTATATTAAAGGAAAAAGAATAACTAGAGAGAGAGAATCAGATTCCTCACAGACCAAAGTGGAACTGCAGCAGATGGGCAAGGCCCTCAAAGAATACTTCTCCTCTGTGTTTACCGTGGAGAAGGACATGAAGACTTGGGAACTTAGTGGTGACATCTTAGGGACAGTCCATATCACAGTAGAAGAGGTGTTGGAAGTATTAGAATGTATGAAGGTGGATAAATCTCCTGGTCCTGACCAAATATATCCAAGAACCCTGCAAAAGGCTAGCAAAGAAATTGCAGGGGCCCTGGCTGATATATTTGCATCGTTAGCCATGGGTGAGGTCCCGGAAGACTGGAGGGTAGTGAATGTTGTCCCCTTATTCAAGAAGGGCTGCAAAGAAAAACCTGCAAATTTTAGACCAGTAATAACATCTGCGGTAGGAAAATTACTTGAGAAGATTCTGGGGAATAAGATATACATGCATTTAGAAAGACAGTGTTTGATCAGGAGTAGTCAGCATGTCTTCGTGCATGGGGTTGATGAGGGCAGGACGGTAGACATAGTCTACATGGACTTCAGTAAGGCCTTTGATAAAGTTCCACATGGTAGATTGTTCAGGAATCCAGGGAGACTTGGCAAATTGGATGCAAAATTGGTTTGATGGTAGAAAGCAGGGAGTAATAGTGGAAGGATGCTTGTTGGACTGGAGGCCTGTGACTAGTGGTGTGCCTCAGGTGTCGACGCTGGGCCCATTGCTGTTGTTACCTATATCAATGATTTGGATGAGAATGTACAAGGCATGATTAGTAAGTTTGCAGATGACACCAAAATAGATGGTATCGTGGACAGTGAGGAAGGTTATCAGATATTGTGACAGGATCTTGATCCGCTGGGGAGGTGGGCCGAGAAATGGCAAATGGAGCTTAATATAGGTAAATGTGAGATTTTGGAAAGCCAGATCAAGGTGGGAGTTTCACGATGAATGGTAGGGCCTTAAGGAGTGTCGTGGAAGAGAGGGACCTTGGAGTTCAGGTGTACGGTTCTCTGAAAGTGGAGTCCCAGGTAGACACGGCAGTGAGGAAGGCTTTTGGCACACTGGCCTTCATCAGACAGGTTGAGTACGGAAGTTGAGAAGTTATGTTGTAGTTGTACAAGATGTTGGTGAGGCTGCACTTGGAGTATTGTGTTCAGTTTTGGTCACCTTGCTATAGGAAGGATGTTACTAAACAGGAAACAGTGCAGAAGAAATTTACAAGGGTTTTGATCAGTATTGGGTCCATCTTTGCCCATCATTTATATAAGTGGTTTGGATGAAAATACAGGAGGTATGGTTAGTAAGTTTGCAGTTGACACCAAAATTGATGGCATAGTGGACAGTGAAAAAGGTTATCAAAGAGATCTTGATTAATTGGGTCAATGGGCTGAGGAGTGGCAAATGGAGTTTAATTTAGATAAATGTGAGGTACTGCAATTTGGTAATACAAACAAAGGCAGGACTTATACAATTAATAGCAGAACCTTGGGCAGTGTTGTAGAACAGAGAGACCCAGGATTTCAGATACATAATTCTTTGAGGGAGCAAATTACTGCAGATGCTGGAATCACACTGAAAACAAAAAATGCTGGAGATCAGAACAGGTCAGGAAGCATCCATGGAGAGAGAACAAGCTACCCTTTCGGGTCTAGGTGACTCATCATCAGAGCTAATGTGAAGTGTGGAGGGGCAGCATTTATGTAATAGCTTGGGGTGTGGGGGTGCTTGGAGTGCTGGGGAGGAATGTTGATAGTTCAAATTAAGTGTTCGAAATTTGAGAATTGCAGAACAATGATGTGTCTAACTGCCAGACTGGAAGAAACAGACGGGGGAGGGGAGAGAGAACATGGTGACAGAGAATGTAACAAGCAAACCTAAAAGAAAGGGAAGGAACTGGTTCACAATCTGGAGGCGTTGAATTCCATACTGAGCCCAGAAAATAATGAAGTGCCTAATCTGAAGATGAGATGTTGTTTCTCCAGTTTACACTGTGATTCACTGGAACACAGCAGCATGCCGAGGACAGACACATGGACATTTGGACAGGACACTGTATTAAAATAACCGCCATGGGAAGGTCGGGGTCATACTTGCGCATGGACCGGAGGTGTTCCGCAAAGCAGTCACCCAGCCTGCGTTTGGTTTCTCCAATGTAGAGTAGAATACAATACACAAGATTGAAGCAGGTACAGGTGAAATATTAACTGAAAGAACTGCGGATGCTGTAAATCAGGAACAAAAACAAAGTTGCTGGAAAAGCTCAGCAGGTCTGGCAGCATCTGTGAAGGAAAAAACAGAGTTAACGTTTCGGGTCCGGTGACCCTTCCTCAGAATAGGTGAAATATTGCTTCACCTGGAAAGACTGTTTCGGCCCTTGGATGATGAGCAGGGAGGAAGTGAGGGGGCAGGTATTGCACCTTCTGCGGTTACACGGGAAGGGGGGTGGTGTTAGTCGTTGATGAATGGACTAGGGTGTCCTGGTGGGAACAATCTCTGTGAAATGCAGAATGGGGGAGTGAGGGAAAGATGTGTTTGGTGGTGGCATTCTGCTGGAGTTGTCTGAAATGGCACAGAATGATTCTTTGAATGCAGAGGTTGATGGGATGAAAAGTGAGAACAAGGGGTCCCAAATAACTCTGTTGTGAGAGATGGAGAGGGGCAAGGGTTGAAGCACAGGTGATAAGTTGGATGCGGTTGAGGGCCGTGTCAACCACAGTGGGTGAGAAACCACTGTTATGGAAGAAGGAAGCCATATCAGCAGCGTTGTTATGGAAGGTGGCATCATCTGAACAGATACGAATTTCTTTGAAATTTGCATCATAGGTAGAGAGAGTGGTTATGAAGGTGTTTAGCATATTTGCCTTCATTGCTCAGATCGTTAAGGAGTTGGGACATCAAGTTGAAGTTGTACAGGACATTGGTGAGGCTGCTCCTGGAGTACAGTGTGCAATTCTTGTCACTCTGTTATAGAAAGGATATTATTAAACTGGAGAAGGTTCAGAAAAGATTTACCAGAATGTCGCCAGGAATGGAAGGTTTGAGATATAAAAATAGACTGAAAAGACTGGGACTTTTTTAACTGAAGTGTAGGAGGTTGAGGGGTGACTTTATTAAGGTTTATAAAATCATGAGGGGCATAGATGAGGTGAATTACAAGGGTCTTTTCCTTAGCGTGGGGGAGGTCAAAACCAAGGGCATATTTTTGGGGTGAAAGGAGAGAGATTTAAAAAGGACATGAGGGGCGACTTCTTTAAACAGAGAGTGGTTCATGTGTAGAAGGATTGGCCAAAAACAGTGGTGGATGCAGATACAGTTACAATGTTTAAAAGATATTTGCACATTCGTGAATAGGAAGGGTTTGGATGGATATGGGCCAAGCACAGGCAGGTGTGTCTAATTTAGTTTGGGAACAAGCTGTGGACCAAAGAGTCTGTTTCCATGCTGCATGATTCAATGATGTTGCAGCAACTGTGAATGAGTGAGTTAAGAATCAGTTACATTCTTTGGTGAATCCCATTCCCTTATTTAATCAACATTGTCAATTTGATGTTTCTCAGATGTCCTCCTCAGAGAAAGCTGTTCTCATCAAACCTGCGCTGACTGAGGCCCAGGTTGTTGAGTTGGCCGAGCGGTTGTATGGTCTGAAGGCCTCCAATGTCCAACCAATGCCCAGTTACGATGACCAGAACTTCCACATTCTGGTGTCTGAGACCCAGGCAACTAGAGATCACAGTCAGAGCTACGTCGTCAAAGTGATGAACACTGTCGACAGTGAAGATGCTGATTTGATTGAAGCACAAACACGAGCCATGATGTTTTTGAGTGAAAAAGGATTTCCTTCACCCACACCTATCCCAACCATTGATGGCAAGATTATGTCTTTGGAGACTATTGGTCAGTATTAGCTCTTGATGGCTGGGTTCAGGTTACAGTTGACCAGCCACGGACCAAATGTTTGAAATTTATCTTACATAAATGTCCACACTTCACATAAACCCTTGCCAATGATATAATTAATTAGAAATCAGTTTCTATTATTTAATTTCTGACATGATATGCTAGTTATCAAAAACGCTGTGCTCTCATCTCTTACAGACTGTGGAGAACAATCCAAGACCCACATGGTCCGGTTACTGACCTACCTTCCTGGAATTCCATTGTCTGAAACGCCTATAGGTCCTCAGATCTTGTACAAAACTGGTCAAACCCTCGCTCGAATGAACCAGGTGCTTGCAGTAAGTCAGGATGTTGTACCTGCAGTGTTGTCTTTATAAAGGGTTATGAATGCAACCGAGGGAAGCTGTGATACAGATCAATCTGTTTGGGTTGTTTAGGTCAAACCTCCGTCCATTTGAAACAGATCAGAACTGCTTAGGAACATCTTTAGCCTAACAGCAGAAATTCCATTATGAAAGGGTTCGTTAAAATCATTCTTCATTCGATACGGTCTATGGATCGGGTTATTCAAAATATCAAATCCGCAGAGAGTCTGAATCAGCCTTTTTTAGATCTGGGAAAGTTTTGGTTGTTACAAATTTAGGAAATGTTCTTTTAAAAAAGACTGAAAATTTCCAAATATCGCACACAAGGACCATTTTTCTCCAGTTCAGGGCCCTGGTGATTATATCCTGAATCATGACAATAAGAAGATTTTAGAATCATAGAGTCATACAGCATGGAAACAGATCCTTGGGTCCAACCAGTCCATGCTGAACATAATCCCAAACAAAACAAGTCCCACTTGCCTGTTCCTGGTCCATATCCCTCCAAACCTTTCCTATTCATGTATCTATCCAAATCTCTTTTAAATGTTGTAATTGTACCCACATCCAAAACTTCCTCAGGAAGTTCATTCCACATGCAAACCACCCCCATGTAAAAAATTTGCCCTTCGTGTCATTTTTTAAATCTCTTGGCGTAAGCTGCTGAAAGATTTCCCCTGATACAGAGAGCAACAGAGGAAGAAGGGGTCACCAATAGATAATGGTCCATTGGGAGATATTGGCAATGAGGCCTTATTGTCATTAAGGATCAACGAGATAAAACACTGGGAGTGTAATTCATATCCTTATTGCAATAGTGCTTCATTAAATCCCCATTGCATGCTCTTCCTTCTCTCTCATTCTTATCCCATCCCATTCTGTCTTCCCCATTCCACATGAAACTCCTGTCAGTACTCCCGCACTTTCTCCATAATGCAGTCTCAACCAAGCTGTCTCCCCCCACCCCCCCCCACCCCCGCCTCAATGATCCCTGCCCTTGCAGGCTGCACTCACCCTGTGTCATTTCGGGTTCCAGTCAGCAGCTCACCAGAGCAGGTACACCTCAAAGCAGCAATAGTCAAATGACACTTGGAGAAAAGTTGGCTTTCTTTTAGAGGGGCTGGGGGTGCTGGGTGTTAAAGGGCATATGGACAGACACAGCTTTGAGTTCTAACCCAGATGGAGAAAGCAGGAAACAACCAGTAATACTTGGAAACGGATACTGGTCATCCCGGTGCTCCACGTTGAGGTATGCAAAGCAAATCGGTCCAGTGCACATCATTCACAAATTTTCCTCGTTTTTGTGGCAAGGAGATCCCAGGGAGGCATTATGATCAGACAGCCTGTTGGGTATATTGGGTGGGAGATGGTAATGGATTTCTCTCATTGGCAGGAATTCCAACATCCTATCCTGAAGAGTCTGCAACGGCCGGATTTCCTCTGGAAGCTCTCAAACATTCACTTGCTGAACAAGTATCTTTACACACTGGAAGAGGGAAGCGATCGCCAAATTGTGGAGCAAATTATTCAGCAATTCCAGGAAGTGATACTTCCAAACCTCTGCAGGTTTCGTCAAAGTAAGTCGTCATCCCTGTTGGCTTAGAAACCGACAAAGTTGGAACGGGTTATGGCACAAAACTGGTGGGATCAGTGTTCTTGGAATGTTTTACTCTGTTAATGGTTCTATTGAGATGTAAGTTGTTGTTCTATATACCTGGAATCTTGACCAATTTAAACAGAGTAGAATCCAGGGAGATCTTCATATGTCCAAATTCACCTCTTCTTCTCTATATTGCCCTAGTACATGGGCTCCTTGTGACCCATGACCCTGCATCCCATTGCAAACTCAAGGATTAAAGTTCCAATGTATTCACAGCTAACCTCCAGGGAGTCAGGTACAAGGGAGTGTGATGGTGACACTGCAACTGAGCAAGTCTGATACCTTAACAAGTGAGCGTGATGTAACAAGATCATTAAGGGCGAGTGATGTTAGATTGTCTTTGAAATCCTGTCATCAGTGATGGATGATAAAACATTGCAATGTTTGTCTCTTTCCCAGGCCTGAATCATGGGGACTTCAGTCACACCAACATTCTAGTCCAGCCTGTTCACACACCAGCTGACCACTCCGACCCGACTGAGCTACAGCAGCAGCTGGATATCTCTGGCTTACTGGACTTCAGTGATATGAATTATGGGTATTATGTCTTTGATGTGGCCATATCCATAATGTATTTGATGCTGGGGAGTAACGATCCCGTCGGCGCTGGGGGCCATGTCCTCTCAGGCTTTGAGAGTGTAATCCCTTTACTCCCTGAGGAGCGCAACGCCATGTTTCTGTTGGTTCTTTGCAGGTTTTCTCAGTCGCTGGTTATGGGGAGATACAATGCTCTGCTTTACCCTGAAAATGCAGAGTATCTTCTGAGCACTGGGAGAGCTGGCTGGAAGTGTCTCCGCCAATTGTGGTCGCTGGGGAAAGAGGCAGTGGGAAAGATTTGGTTTGAGACAGGCAAGTCCCACTGCATTTGATGCAGACCCTGTTTCAGTGTAGTCCCAGGCACGTTGGCTTCCAGGAGAAAAAGAACCCCTCTACAGGGAAAATTATTAAAATAAGTTCAACCAATACATTCCAGAACCTGGAATTGTATTAATATTTTGAGTTCCTAATTATTAACGAATGGCAAACTTTGTTTTAATCGATGCCTTATTTTTAATTTTTGTTTTACTCATTTGTGGGATGTGGGCGTCGCTGGCTGGCCAGCATTTATTGCCTGTCCCTAGTTGCCCTTGAGAAGGTGGTGGTGAGCTGCCTTCTTGAACCACTTCAGTCCACCTGCTGTGGGTTGACCCACAATGCCATTAGGGAGGAAATTCTAAGACTTTGACCCACAACAGTGAAGGAACAATGATATATTTCCAAGTCAGGATGGTGAGTGGCATTGAGGGGTACTTGAAGGTAGGGTGTGCCCATATATCAGCTGCCCTTGTCCTTCCAGATGGAAGTGGTCGTGGGTTTGGAAGGTGCTGTCTGAGGACCTTTGTTGAATTTCTTGTAGATAGTACACACTGCTGCTACTGAGCGTCGGTGGTGGAGTGAGTGGATGTTTGTGGATATAGTGCCAATCATTCCCATGAACCAGCACTCTCAATAAACTGGCAAAAAATATGTACCTCAAATACTGTGAAGTTTACCGTATTATCATGATCTCTGAGTTATCAGTTGAGGGTTCAGTAAGTTTTATTCAAGGCAAAGTTGCATTATTATGTTAGTGATTTATGTTGTAAGTAAAGTACAACAGTGATCTGTAGTCCCCCTGCAACACACTTCTATTACTTGATATGTGTTTTTACATTTACTATGTGAACCCCTTGATCAACCGGAATATTTTATCAACCAGCACATTCCTGGTCCCATAGGTGACAGTTAATAAAACGTTTGCTGTATATTTTGTAAAAAAAAAAGTTGTTAATGTGATATGAATGTTGTTGGCTGGACCAGAATTTATTGCCCACCCTGATAAGCTGGGAGAAGGTGATAGTGAGCTGCCACTGACGTATTTGTGGTTTCAGGACTTCCACAATGCCATTAGAGAGGCAACTTTGGCCCAGTGACACCGAAGGAACAGCAATATGCTTCCAAGTTGGGATGGTGAGTGGCTTGGAGGGGAATCTGCAGGTGGTGTTGTTCCCATAAATCTGCTGCCCTGGTCTTTCTATATGAAAGTGGTTGTGGGTTTAGGAGGTACCATCCAAGGAATTGGTGAATTTCTGCAGTAGATGGTACATACTGCTGAGATTGAGCATCAGTAGTGGAGGGAGTGGATGCTTGTGGATGTGGTGGCAATCAAGTGGGCTGCTTTGTCTTGTATGATGTCAATCTTCTTGAGTATTGTTGAAGCTGTGCTTATCCAGGCAAGTGAGGAGGTATTTCGTCAGACTCCTGACTTGTGCCTTGTCGATGGTGGACAGGCTTCAGAGAGTCAGGAGGTAAGTTACTTGCTGCAGGATTCTCAGCCTCTGACCTATTCTTATTCTCCAAACAGTAGAGAAAGATACGTGACACTTATGGCACTGTCTGAGATCCTAGAAGATGTCACAATTTCAAGTGTGCCAAAACATGAACCAGCTCATATTTTGTTCAGAATAATGTGCATTCAGTACTTGATAAAACAGCAGCTCATTACTGTGAAACATTTAATGTTTTTTTTGTTCTGTTAAAATGTCTGCAAGACAATTGATGATGTTGATAATTCAAGGAAAGCTAATGAATACTTTTAGATTGAAGAAGGATATCTCAATGTATCCAATGTGAAGGATTCTTGAACTGCAAAGACTTTTACAGCACACAGTGTCTGGGATGAAGCCAGTCCAGTCCAGTTTATCCAGGTTGGATATGAACAGAACAGCTCTGGGGTGAATAAGTGTTCGATCAGGATCTGGTTTCACAGACAGCAGCCAGATTGAGGAGCATTATTCACAAAAACAGAAATTGCTGGAGAAGCTCAGCAGGCCTGGTAACAGCTATGGAGAGAAGTCAGAGTTAATGTTTTGGATCCGGTGTCCTATCCTCAGAACTTTTGGTAGCTAGGAAAATGTTGGATTTTATGCAGATGATAGGGTGGGAGGACGGGGTTAGGAGTAAAAGATAGGTGGAGATAGAGCCCAAAGGGAGAGAAGAACAGTTGGACAGACAAAGGAGTGGATAACGATTAGCCTAGGAGAATGAATGGTTGCTAATGGGGACTGTTAGTGGCTAACAGTAGGTTGTGTGTAATAGCGGATCATGTGATAACAAGGCCTGGTGTGTGGGGTTTGGGGCAAGGACGTGGGAGAAGGTACCTCAAGCCCTAAAATTATTGAACTCAATAGTGAATCCAGAAGGCTGTAGAGTTCCCAAGTGGAAAATGAGGTGCTGTTCTTCCAACTTGTGCTGAGCTTTGCTGGAGCACGGCAGTTAGCCTGAGACAAAGATGTTAGCCCGGGAACAGGGTGATGTGTTTAAGTGGCAGGCAACTGGAATCCCAGGGTCTTTTTTGCGACAGAACATAGGTGTTCTGTGAAGCGGTCATTCGGCCTGTGCTTCGTTTCCCCAATGTAGAGGAGACCACATTGTGAGCAGTGAATGCAGTAGACTAGATTGTGGGAAGTGCAGGTAAAGTCCTGCTTCACCTGCAAGGTATGTTTGGGTCCTTGGATACTGAGGAGGGAAGTAGTAAATGGGCAGGTATCACACCTTCTGCAGCTGCAGGGGAAGGTGCCGTAGGGCTGTGGGAGGGTGTTGTGAGTGAAGGAGAAGTGGACCAGGGTGTCCTGGAGGGAACAATCCTTGCGGAAGGCTGACAAGGGAGAGGAGGGTGGTGGTGGTGGCATCTCACTGGACGTGGCAGAAATGGTGGCTAATGATCCTTTGGATGTGGACGCTATTGGGATCGTAATTGAGCACCAAGGGGGACCCAATCACTGTTTTGGGAAGGGAGGTGCGTCAGAATCTGGTGAAGGTCCTGTCAACTACAGTGCTAGGTTGAGGAAGAAGGCGAACATTTTGAATGCCCCCTTGTCAAAGTTAGTGTCATCAGAACAGATGCAATGGAGATGGAGGAACTAGGAGAATGGAATAGAGTCGTTACAGGAAGCAGGGTGTGAGGATGTATGGCCAAGATGACTGTGGGAGTCAGTGGGTTTAGAGTGGATATTGGTGGCCAGCCTATCCCCAGAAATAGAAACAGAGATGTCAATGAAGGGAAGGGAGGTCCAGAGATAGACCAGGTGAAGGTGAGAGCAGGGTGGAAACTGGAAGTGAAATTGATAAACATTTCCAATTCTGGATGAGAAAGGGAAGCAGCACCAATGATAGCATTGATGTACTGGAGAAAGAGTTGTGTGTGGGTGCCAGAATAGTACTGGAACAGGAGCATTCCACGTACCCAACACAGAGGCAGGCATATCTGGGGCCCATGCATATACCCATGGCCAACCTCTGACCTGAAGAAAGTGAGAGGAGTTAAAAGGGAAGTTGTTCAGTGTGAGGACAAGCACAGCCAAGCAGAGGAGGAGGGTGGTGGATGGGACGGCTCAGACCTTCTCTCCAGAAAGAAGCAGAGAGCCATGAGACCATCCTGATGGGGGATGGATGTGTAAAGGGATTGCACATCCACGGTAAAGACAAGGTGGTAGGAGCCTGCAAACTGGAAATTCTGAAAACTGACATAAACCGTCAGTGAAACTGCGATTGTAAGTTGAAAGGGACTGGACAAAGGGAGAAAAATTGAGCTGAGGTAGGAAGAGGTGCGTTTTGTGGGGCAGGAGCAGGCAGAAACAATGGGCCTGCCCGGGAAGTCCTGTTGTGAATTTTGGGAAGGAGAGAGAAACGAACTCTGGGAGATTGGGAGACTATTAGCTTGGAGGCAGTGAGCAGGGAAGATCACGAGATGAAATGAGGTTAGTGACCATAGTGGACACAATGGCCTGATGTTCCATGGTGGTATCATGGTCCAAGGGGAGATAGAAGGAGGTATTTGCAGGAGGAATAGTGTAGGTTAGATGGGCTTCAGATTGGTTTCACAGGTCGGCGCAACATCGAGGGCCGAAGGGCCTGTACTGCGCTGTAATGTTCTATGTTCTATGTATTTGAAGCTGAGAAAAGCATCAATCTCATTCTCACATTAAACACAGTCACCTTCCAGAGGAAACTATTCTTTAAACCTCACCAGATCCACAGCCCTTTGAGATATCTGCACTCATCCCATTCTGGCATCTTCCACAGTAATCATTGCAGCATTGGGCCTTTGATTGAACTTTTCCGAGCCCAATCTCTGGAACCCCTTCCTGAAAGCTCTCCACCTCTATACCTCACTTTCCTCCTTTAAGGTGCTCCTCAGGACTCACCTCTTTGATCAAACTTTGGCCATTTTAAAAAAAATCCAGCTGAGGGTAGTACTGAACAATTCAAATTCCAGAAAGAAACCTGACTTGATAGGTTTTTTTAATTAGTTGATGTGTTTATCAATCACTGAAACAGTCATACAAGGCTGCATAGTGTTTAACAAAAGAGGTTAGTTACACAAAAAATGGAAAATAATTAAGTCAGCCATCTAGACATGGAATACAGTTAGAGACATCTTAAAACAGTAATTTAAATCCAGAGAAATAACTTCTTCATACCAAACATTAAGTTGAGTTAACTGATTCCCCCCAGTTTCTGAGTTGTGAACAGAGGAGTGTTCCTATATGAATATTGTCAAAACTAAGAGCTTATACTTTCTCAGCTTCTAATAGCCTGCAGATTTCTAATCAAACACTCCTATATGGTTATCGCATAAACATTTCTCCTGAGGTAACCTATTCCCTTGACTGTTGTGAAAAATTCACAATCACTTGCTTTCTAACACCTACTGATTAGATCAATGTTCTGGAAGGAATATTTTGACCTAGGTTTCTTAGCTAAAAAGCATTGTAGATCATTCACCTTTCAACACAAACTCACTGAATATCATCTTATGTACTTTAATGCCTAATTTTGCTTTGCAATATTCCTATGAAAGGCCGTGTGAAATTAAAAGACATTAAAGGTGCTGTATAAATACAAATTGTTTTCCGTGACTAAACTTGGCTGTTCCTGCTTTTCCCACCGAAACTGCCATGTGATCCAAGTTTCCTTTCCTGTCCTTGAAAAAGCTCATCTTATTTCTGTGGACTTGAGGAGTAACTGAGTATTAATCACCTTTTGTCAAGTTTGTGCATTGATACCTTCTGGCTGCTCACTGCTGGGTGATTTGATTGACCCTCCCACATGCTATGACATGAGAAGAGTTTTGGGCGCGTAAATGGAGGAGAAATCCTGAGACATTGATTAACAATCCAGTGGCAGGAGTTCAAATCCCACCATGGTAGACTGTGAATTTAAATTCATATCTACATGTCTATACTGGGACATAGTAGACTAAAGACCAAGTGCAGGTAAATGGGATTAGTATAGTTTGGTGCTTGTTGGTCAGCTTAGACATGATGGGCTACAGGGCCTGTTTCTATGCTGAATGACTCTATGACCACATCTAGAAAGAAAATTCATCCGTTAACAGGTTGAAGGGGAAGATGTTAGAGAGTTGATGTGCATTCAGTTAATTCACTTGTTTTGCAAAAATCGAGAGTTGGAGTAGGCCATTTGGCCCTTGAGCCTGTTCCGTACTCAATAAGCTTATCACCAATTGCAACTGTACCTTCCCACAATCTGTGATTCTTCTACTGTCCAAAAGACTATCAATCCCAGTCTTCAAGACATCTAAAACTTTTCAGGGAAGAGAATTCCAAGCATTCACATTTTTGAGTGATGACATTTCTCACCTCAGATCTAAATACTCGATTCCTTAGTCTGAGACCATGTGATGGAAATTTTGGGATTGTATTTGGGAGTGGTGGGCATGGGTGGATGAAAGAGAGTATTAGTTAGCAATCAACCTTGTCTCAACAGCAAACAACTGAAAAGGAATTGAAAGGAACAGGAAGAACCCTTGTGTTACCACCTGGTGCAATTGAACTATGTTCCCCTTTTTTCTCTCTTCCGTTCTTAATATCCATGTCTTGTCTGTCCAATTGTTTTATGAGGGGAGAGTTTAAGAAGGGGCACAGTTTAAGTTGCAGAGTTATAAGTAAACAATTTACATTTCCTAATTGCCATTTGTTAAATACAATTTCTCATACTAAGGAGTTACTTCCTTGTCAAGTACAGAAAAGCTGATGAGTGCTTTCTTATAACCTGAGCATGAAGTCATTGGAATGTTACTAAAAACCCAACCTCATTTATTAAAGTCCTTTTGGAAACAAAACCTCCGTCCTTACCTGTTCTGACATCTATGTGACTCCAGTTCCACTCCAACGCAACCATTCTGAAGTGATGAGTAAACATTTAGGGAGTGAGGGTTGGACATTCAGTTTCAACATGTCCTGAGAATGAATTACTGCAAATAAATGTAACTCTTCCCTTAACATCTCCTTTCAGGTTCTTTTAAACTTACAGATCATTGCATATTCTTAGCACAGCCTGAGAATGAATTAATGATTTTTCTCTAATGTTTGTTTTCAGATTATTATAAAAAGATCACGACCGATGCTATGGTGCTGAACAATGATGGGACAATCATGCTGGACTTCCATTGGTGTAATTAGCCCTCTGTTCCACAGCCTGTAATGATGATGCGTTGATGTAATCTCAGTTTATAATCCCTAGATGAACCTCACCACCCAATCAACACTCTCCATTCTGCTGTTACAACCCAGTGTGCTGAAAATCAAGCTTCACTATTCCTAGTGTCATCACAAATGTGATAACATTTAATCAAACTATCACTCAATTGACTGGCAAGCTCAGGTTAAAAGAAAGCACTCATCAGCTTTCAGTACGTGACAAGGAAGTAACTCCTTAGTATGAGAAATTGTATTTAACAAATGGCAATTAGGAAATGTAAATTGTTTACTTAAAACTCTGCAATTTAAACTGTGCCCCTTCTTAAACTCTCCCCTCATAAAACAATTGGACAGACAAGACATGGATATTAAGAACGGAAAAGAGAAAAAAGGGGAACATAGTTCAATTGCACCAGGTGGTAACACAAGGGTTTTTCCTGTTCCTTTCAATTCCTTTTCAGTTGTTTGCTGTTGAGACAAGGTTGATTGCTAACTAATACTCTCTTTCATCCACCCATGCCCACCACTCCCAAATACAATCCCAAAATTTCCATCACATGGTCTCAGACTAAGGAATCAAGCATTTAGATCTGAGGTGAGAAATGTCATCACTCAAAAATGTGAATGCTTGGAACTCTCTTCCCTGAAAAATGGTAGATATCCAGCCATGGAGTTTATTCAAGGCTGGGATTGATGGATGTTCGGATAGTAGAAGAATCACGGAAAATGGGAAGGTGCAGTTGCAATTAGTGATCAACTTGTTGGGTTTGGAACAGGCTCAAGGGCCAAATGGCCTACTCCAACTCTTGGTTTTTGCAAAACCAGTGAATTAACTGGATTCACATCAACCACCCACTAACATCTTCCCCTTCAACCCATAAATGGATGAATTCCTGATAATTGTGATTAATAGACGTATTATCGCAATATCTATAAATGACAGGCTTGTAGTTTTCTGTCAGGTAAAGTCAAAGAACCAAAGAAAAGAGCAGAAGTTATCGAATTATTGTCCAGATATTGCATGATCTGTTATATAATAATCATTTCACAAATTTTTTTATCATGGTATAATTTTTCTGCAGGAGGGTTAGACTTGTTAACACAATGCACACAATCACTGAGTAACCAGCAAATGCCTGGCCCTTCATTCAAATCCCAACATCTGCTATTACAACTACCGGTTGTGAAGAGAGATTGACAGTGTTTAGCAACGTAGGAACAGGAGGCCATTAAGCCCTATGAGCCTGTAATGTTCAGATCATGGCAGGCCCCTACCTCACTCATCTGCCTTCACTCTGTATCTCTTAATCCCCTTACCCAGCTACACATCTCAACCTTGGGACCTGCAATTGACCCTCAGTGCTGCAGCCTTTAGTGAAGCAAGTGCCTGATTTACAACTGTCCTTTGTGTGAAGAAATACTTTCTTATTTCAACTTTAAATAGCTTTACTCTGCTTTTAAAGTTATGTCCCTGTTGTTGATTTCTTCACATCACCCAAACACATTGTAAACACCTCGCTCAGAACATCCATGTTCAAGGCCATTCGAGCAATTTAGAGTCATACAGCTATAAAGTATTAGAACATGGAAACAGGCCCTTCAGCCCAGACTGGTCCATGCTGACCATGGTGCCCTGTCAGCTTGTTCCAATTGCCTGGATTTGGTCCATATCGCTCTAAACCCTTCTCATCCGTGTACCTATCGAAATGTTTTTTAAATGTTGCTATTGTACATGCCTCAACCACTTTCTCTGGCAGCCCATTCCATATATGCAGCACTCTCTGCATGAAGACGTTGCCCCTCAGGTCCTTCTTAAATCTACCCCCTGTCACCTTAAACCTATGCCTTCTACTTTTCAAGACTATATGCATTCATCCTACCTATGCATCTCATAATTTTATACACCTCAATAAGGTCACCCCTCATTTTCCTACGTTACAAGGAATAAAGTCCTATCCTGGCAAACCTCTCCCTGTGACTCAGGCCTACTAGTCCTGGCAACATCCTTGTAAATCTTCTTTGCACACTTTCCAATTTAACTATGTCATCCTATAACAGGGTGACCAAAACTGTACACAATACTCCTTGCGGCCTCACTAGCAACTTATACAACTGTGACATTACGTCCCAACTCCTTTAAAAATTTCTCGATCAATGAAGGCCAGCATGCTAGATGTCTTCTTCACCACCCTGTCTACCTGTGACGTCGCTTTCAATAAATTATACTCCTAGGTCCCTCTGTTCCACAACACTCCTCAGGACCTTACCATTTACTGTATAAGTTTGTTTGACTTTCCAAAGTGCAACACCTCACACTTATCTGCATTGAATTGCATTTGCAAATCCTTAGCCCACTTCCCCATCTGACCAAGATCCCTCTGTAATTTTTGATAACCTTCCTTGCTATCAACGATTTTGTATCATCTGCAAACTTACTAATCATGACTTGTATATTCATATCTGGATCATTTATGTAAATAACATATAATAAAGGTCCCAGCACTGACCCCTGTCGCACACCACTAGTCACAGGCCTCCAGTCTAAGAAACAACCTTCGACCATCACCCTCTGCTTCCTACCATTGAGACAATTTTGAATCCATTTAGCTAGATCCCCTTGGATCCCATGCGACATAACTTTCATGACTAGCCTGCTGTGTGGGACCTTGTCAAAGGCCTTACTAAAGTCCATATAGACAATATCCACTGCCCTACTCTCATCCATCCTCTTCGTTACCTGTTCGAAAAACTCTAAAAGATTTGTCAGGCAACACTTCCTGCGCACAAATCCATGCTGACTCTCCCTAATCAGACCATGACTATCCATTTGTCCCCATCGTTCATCCCTTTCAGCCCTGGGATCATTCTGGTGACTGCATTGCACCCTGATTTCTCCTCCTGGATGTGGAGGGTCCAGGTCTCAATCAGTGTCTCCAGGTGGGGTCTGAGCCAGGTCAGACTTGACCCACTCACTAGACATTGGCCAAGACTCTTCAGATCAACCTAATTTAAACACTAGGGGCCTCATGAGTCGTGTTTCAGCCTGGACAGGGTCTGGGGTGCAGAGGGCCTGGGGTTGTGGTACCCTGCACAGGCCAAATAAGAATTGGCGGGGCACAGGAAGGGGCAACCCTAATGGAAAACCAACCTAAAGCCAAGTACCTTGACAGAAATTTGAGATGGGGACTTTGCTCAGTTTCTGTATTAGAGGGAAGTTGTTCCAGTCAGCAGCTACATTTTGATAGGTCCATCCTTAGGATAACAGAAAACAGCTCATTCTGACTGATACGGTCTGGCACGGACACGGGGCGGTCTGTCAGGGACAGTCGGACACAGACACACGACAGTTTGACAGGGAACTGGGACAGTCTGACAGGGACAAATCTGACATGGACATGACAGGGACCACAGAACTGTCTGATGTGGAAATGAAACAGTTTGAAGTGGACACAGAACAGTCTGACACAGACACTGGACAGCCTGACAGGGATAGTCTGACAGGCTCAGTTTGATACTGACATGGCACAGTCTGACATGGACAATCTGAGTTGCTCACATAAAGAATGACAATGATCAAACATAAGGGGAGGTTCATAGTTCCAACCTCCTTCAGTGTCAGTTGGAGGCCGGACACACCCCAAAATTAAACAGACCCAGCAGAGTTTTGCATAGACCAGGTGGTCCAGGGTCTGTCGAGAGACAGAAGTGAACCAAATGGCCTTTTTCTTGTCCCAGCATTCTTCCTGTTTAGCTCCTGACTTTAAAGAGTGAGGTGAGGAAGAGGAATGAGAAGGGAATGTTACTCTGCTCCACTCTCTGAAGGAGGACCGGAGGTGATACAGTAATCACTCTGGGATCTTTCTCATCTCCTCATCACTGACCTAACCCTTATCGACTCTTGATCTGGTAGGACCTGGCTGTGTCAAACCAGACCCTCTCGACTGCCTTTTTGCCCTGGTGCCACAGTTGGTACAGGCACTTCCAGCCTTTCCGCGCCGACACCATGATGTATTCCTCATTCTCGGGATGGAAACACACATTGTGGCTGGCGTTAAGCAGTGACTGGGAAAACCTACAGAGCACCAGCAGGAACAGAGAATCACGCTCATCCTCCGTCAGTGGGATGACACTCTCAAAACCTGCTATGACATGCCCCCCCACCCTGAGGGGCTCTACTCTCCCAATCATCAGATACGTAATGCTGATGGCCAGCTCATACACAAAGCAGCCATAGCTCATGTCACCAAAGTCCAGGATTGCAGAGATGCGGAACTCTGGTTGTGGGTGTGTCGTGCTGGACCTCTCTGTCATACCTTCCAATGCCGAGGAATCCACTGGTGTTAGCAGAATGTTGTGCTCGTTGCAGTCTCCATGAATAATACCTGAGAAAAACCATTTTGAAAACACTGCAATCATTCAATAGCCTGACAACAATCAATCCTGATTAGCTAAAATCACGAGGCAGACAGTATCAATTCATTCCAGAAAGATTTTGTGCATTCTGAGACAGAAGTAACATAGAAACATAGGAGATAGGAGCAGGAGGCCGCCTGGTGGCACAGTGACTCAGTGGTTAGCACTGCTGCCTCACAGCACCAGCACCGCAGCACCACCCTCGGGTGACTATCTGTGTGGAGTTTGCACATTCTCCCCATGTCTGTGTGGGTTTCCTCCGGGTGCTCCGGTTTCCTCCCACAGTCCAAAGATGTGCAGGTGAGGTGGGTCGGCCATGCTAAATTGCCTGTAGTGTTCAGGATGTGTAGATTAGATGGGTTATAGGGGTATGGGTCAGGATGAGATGCTCTGAGGGTCGTGTGGACATGTTGGGCCAAAGGGCCTGTTCCCACACTGTAGGAAATTCTATTCTCATTTGGCCCTCATCTGCTCCATCATTTTTCATGATCATGGCTGATCGTCCAACTCAATAGCCTAATCCTGCTTACTACCCATAGCCTTTGATCCTGTTCACCCCAAGTGCGATATCTAGTTGCCTCTTGAATACATTCAATATTTAGGCATCAACTACTTCCTGTAGTAATGAATTCCACAGGCTCACCGCTCTTTGGGTGAAGAAATGTCTCCTCATCTCTGTCCTAAATCATCTATCCCGAATCCTCATACTGTGACCCCTGGTTCTGGACACACCCACCATTGGGAACATCCTCCCTGCATCTACCCTGTCCAGTCCTGTTAGAATTTTCTATGTCTCTATGAGATCCCCCCTCATTCATCTGAACTCTGGCGAAAACAATCCCAACCGAAATCAATCTTTCCTCATAGGTCAGACCGCCATCCTCAGAATCAGCCTGGTAAACCTTTGCTGCGCTCCCTTGAGAGCAAGAACATCCCTCCTCAGAAAAGGAAACCAAAACTGCACACAATATTCTAGGTGTGGCCTGGAGGTATTAAGTGGAACATGACTGAGAGGAGCAGGTGACTTTGCACGTCCAGATCGGAGGATTTCTTCACCTATTTATCTGTTGTTAACGATTTGTCAGAGACTAACAACTGAGACTGACTGGAAGGAAAACTCTCATCATCAAATCAAGTCATGACTGGGACTGTAGAAGGAGATACTGATTTTGTGGTAATGACATTGGACTGACAATCCAACAGCTCAGTCTAATTCCCTGGGGACATGGATTCAAGTTCCACCACGGCAGCTGGTGGAATTTAAATTCAATGAATGAATTTGAAATCTAAAGCTGTCTCAGTAATAGTAACCTTGAAATTACCATCTTTCATTGTAAAAACCTATCTGGCTCATTACTATTACCCAGTCTGACCTACATGTGACTCCAGACCCATAGCAATGCATTTGACTCTTAAGTGCTCTTTGAAATGCTCTAGCAAGCCACCCAGTTCAAGGGCAATTGGGGAGGGGCCACTATGGTTTCAACTGTGGTACCCAGGTCCCATGAAAAAAAAGTAAAAATGTGATAGAGAATGATCTGGATCAACTGACCCAGAAATATTAACTGAATTGTGAATATAGACAGAGAATTGGTTAAAAAAAAAGACTAGATTTATTAGACCATTCAGTCCCTCAAACCTGTCCCCCAGTCAATAACAACATGGCCGATCAGATTATGTCTTCAACTCCAATTTCCTGCATGTACACAAATAGCATGACCCTTGACCCTTCTCATAGGCAGTTAAGGTGTGCAAAAAAAAAATCCTTTCCCACACAACCCCATCTTGTGAGAGAATAAAAATAAACTCTCGTCTATCAAAACATTTGACAAATTCCACCTTGAATAAATTCAACTACCTGCCTCCACCTCACTCTGGGAAAGAGAATTTCACTGAGTTGTGATTCTGTGAGAGAATAAAATTTTCCTCATCTCCACCTTAAAAGGAAAATGTCTAATTTTTAAACAGTGTTCCCCTTTTTCTAGACCCCTAGAAAAACATTCTCCTGGTATCCAACCTATCAAATTCTCTCAGGATGTTGTATGTTTTAATAAAGTTAGGGGTGTACACAACACATTGGGGACGTGATGATGCTGTGACTTTAAAAAGTTATTTTGTCCTTTTTTTTGAAGAGAGTTTGTAAGGCAGAGGAATTGAGCATGCTACCAGACCCACTAGACTAAACAGCTTGGGAAGGTTTGGGATTTTTTTTAAAACAGCCTGAATGGGTGTGGCCAGCTCTTTCAGATCAGGATTTCTGGGTTTTTAGATTTAGCTTTAAGTAGACGCTGTTGGGATCTCAACAGAGTTGGAAGCTTAGTGAATGTCTCCTGGCTACTATTCTTTCTGAATTTTCTCAATGTTTTTTTTCTCCTGGATTGGAGAACTTCATGTGACAATCTATGGCTAAAATTGCCTTTTTGCCAAGGGAGTGTGTTTATGAGATGTTACTACATTGGAACAGTTAATTAGTAATAGATACTGTATCTATTATTCACTTAACTTTACCAATAAAGTTGTTATTCTAAACTCCTCTTTCTTTGGTTGTATTTTAATTACAGTATTTAAATAAATTGGATTTCGCTTAACGTCAAATACTTTGACTAGTCACATTGCATCTGGAACAGGCACTTCACATTTGCCTTTAAAAATAAGAAAAGTTAGGGTCTATGCTACCTTCTTAATATATTTTGAGGACTCTGGTCTGCTCCATAACAAGAACATTTGCCACAAGGATATGGTCAAAGAAGATTAGACAGTATTCGGTACCATGTAAATGAGGTTCTAACAGGAGCATCATCGCCAAATGATCTGTGTGAAAGGCAAACATTTAAGATCCTCAGCAAAGGAGTGATAGAAGATATGAGGAGAGGTTTTGGCACATGAGGTTGGTGAAGTATAGACTATCGAAGGAGTAACAGTGGGGAGATAGTTTCCACAAAGAGACCCATTCTGACAGGGTAATAAATCTTTAAGTTCAACACAATAGAGAATGGCAGGACACTTTTAACATTGAAGAGTTTAGGGATCAAGTGAGGCTTTGAGGAGGAGGGATAAACTGATCCAGATTTCTAGCACCCCAGACACCACCCCTTTCCACCCCAATCCCAGTGAGAATAAAATTTTCCATCTGTGTCCCCATGAAATCTTTCAATCAGGAGCTGAATGGGACTCTGGGCACAGATAGTGAATGGGATGTCGGATGAATCCAGGTGTTTGAAACATTCGGATGAGCTGAATGACCTGGCACTGCACTGTAACATTCGATGGTCCTGTGACCAATCTGCTTTGGGAACGCACCAAGTTTTGCAATGAGGTTTAAACTTACTTCTGTGAAATTTGCTGAGGTTGGGGAGTATCTTTTCTTTGAACTGCTCAAGAACTTGTTTGACAATTGAGCGTGTTTCACCTTCCTTCATTTCAGGCAGGTACTTTTCCAGGAGATGAAGATTTGAAAGGTTCCATCTGAATCCTTCTCGATGCAGACTCTTTGTGGATGGGTGCCGGAACTCCTAAAAGTGGGAGAAATCCATTACTGATTCACAATGGTGTGATTCAGTGTGAATAAGAAAAAAGGAAAGGCTGATCGTACAATCCTTCTCATCTGATCATATCATTCCCTTTCAGACAATGTGTTGTCAGCTGTCAGCCTCACAGCTCTCGAACAGAATAGGAAAACCTTCTGATTTTTCTTATTAACCTAACTCTTATTATGTTGTGAAGGATTAATTCTGTTCAGCAAATCAAAAATTTTCATAGACATCAAATTCCACAGTCACAATTTTAGTAAATACATTTGTTAAACATACCCTTAGAAGTGAATACATAAAACACAAACTTTGGGTTTAATCAAAGGACAAACGTTTTTTAGTCTTTCATGGATATAGCTGATAAGGCCAGAATTTGTTGCCCATCTCTAATTGTCTGTGCACAGGGGGGCTCATTTCAGAGGGCAGTTTAAAATCAATCCCATTGCTGTGGGTATGGAGTCACTTTCAAGCCAGACTGGGTGAGATTTCCTACCCTAAAGGACATGAGTGAATTAGATGGGGTTTTACAACAATCAATGATAGTTTCATGGCCATCGTTACTGATACAAGCTTTATAAGCCACATTGCTTATAAACCAACTATAGCCTGCCTGTTAAATTACCTGAGGAGATTACACAAACTATTCCCTAAAATTTAGAAGGTGAATTGACTGAGATTTTCAGGATATTGAGAAGAATGAATAGGCTGGATGGAGAGAAGCAATTTCTGCTGGTAAGGGAGTCTGAGACAGGGATAGAGGGCAGTGTCTAAAAATTGGAGCCAGAATAGCAGTGAAATTAGGAAACATGAGATTCAAAGACTAATGGATGTTTGGAATGCTTTTTGCTAACAGCAATTAATGCTTAATTAATTGTTCATTTTAAAATGGGGATTGCTAGGTTCATGTTCCTTAAAAGGGCTTTAATGATCTTCCCTGTTACAAGTTTTGAATTCACTTTCTCAACCTCTATGAATCTGAGCAACTGAATCCACCACTAATTTATAAAACAAAGAACTGCAGATACGAGAAACCCAAAAACACAGAAATTGCTGGAGAAATTCAACAGCTCTGGCAGCATCTGTGAAGAAATAGCAGAGTTAACATTTCAGGTCCAGTGACCCTTCTTAGACATTGAATCCCTACAGTGTGGAAACAAGCCTGTTGAGTCTGCACTAACTGTCCAAAGAGCAATCCACACCCCTACTCTATCCCTGTAACCCTTCACTTCCCATGGCTAATTCTCCTAGCCTCCACACCCATGGACACTACAGGCAATTTAGCATGGCCAATTCACCTAACCTGCACATCTGTGGACTGTGGGAGGAAACTCATGCAGACAGAGGGAGTATCTGCAAACTCCACACTGACAGTCACCCAAGGGTGGAATTGAACCCAGGTCCCTGGTGCTGTGCAGCAGCAGTGCTAACCAGTGAGTCACTGTGCTGTCCTCTATGCTGCATGTTCAGAACCTGCTGCCAGACCTACTGGGTTTCTCCAGCAATTTCTGTTTTTGTTACACATTTATTATACCTTTCTCTTACCCAGTTCTACATGATAATTGAAACAATTCTGCAGGACACACTATAGTTCCATGGTTGAACATTTTAAATCAGCTTCTATCTTATAATGTCTTAGCTTTATGAATGTGAGAACAGGAGTAGGCCATTCAGCCTGCCCCACCATTCTAGATCATGGTTGATTGTCAACTTAAGTTTTCCATTTTTTTTTTAACCATTTTTCCCACTATTCCATACCTTGATACAGTAGTATCCAGAAAACTATCAATTTCTGCTTTGAGCATGTTCACTGACTGAGCTTTCACAGCTCCTGGGGTAGAAAATTCCAAAGATTCACTTCAATCTGAGTGAAGAAATCCCCCCTCATCACAGTTTCAAGTGGCCTGCACCTTATTCTGAGATTATCTTTGTGGTTCTGTGCCTGTAGCCTTGTGAAACTTCCTTTCTGTGTCAACATTGTTTGGCTGTTCGAGAATTTTGTAAGTTTCTGAGATCACCAGTCATTCTTCTAAACTCTAGAGAATTTACACCCAGTCTACTTAATCTCTCCTCAGAAAACAGTCCACGCATCCCAGGAATTAATCTGTGTGATCTTTTGCTGCATACCCTCTATGACAAATGTATCCTTCCTTAAGAAAGGGGACCAGAGCAGCACTCCAAGTACGTCTCACCAAAGTGCTAAACAATTGAAAACAGTTTTACTCTTCCACTCAAATCCTTTTGCCAAAAAGGACATGGCAGTTGTCTTCCTAATTATTTTCTGTACCTGCAGTGTCCTAGGTACAAGGACATCCAGGGTCTCTTTAGACATTCACGCTTCTCAATCTATCACCTTTTAAGAAACAGTGTGCACCTGTGGTCCACCCCCAAAGTGGATACCTTTGTACATATAGTCCGATTTGTCCACACACTCAGCCTGTCTCAATCCCTTTGAAATTTCTTTACATCATTCTCATAACACACATTCCCACCTCGTTTTGAGTCATCACAAAATTAGAAGTACTATATTTGAACTCCACATTCAAATCATTGATATAGATTATGAAGAACTGGGGTCCAAGTACAGACTGTACTCTTGTTTCTCTTTCCATTAACCAGATGTTAAAATTATGAGGGACACAGACAGGGTAGATGGGAAGAAACTGTGTTTTTAAAGAGGGTGATGGGAACCTGTAGAGGCAGAAATCCTCATGACATTGAGGAAGTATTTAAATGTGCACTTGTGATGCCAAGGCTTACAAGGCTATAGGGCCAAGGCAGGAAAATGGGATGAGAATAGTTTAGTGGTTTTTTTGACTGGAGTGGACATGATGGGCTGAAGGGCCTTTTTCTGTGCTGTAGATCTCTGTGACACTTAGTGAGATGTTGTAATTTGGAACATGCTGTCTGAAAGAGCAATGGAAGCAGGTCGATAATAACTTTCAAAAAAGGAGCTCACTCATTCAATACCTCGTGAAGAGCTTTGTCCATTTGGGCTAAGGTTCTACCGATTTTGTAGAAGGTCCGATGATCCAAAGTGAGATTGACAAATGGGATCCCGGGCAGGTACGTCAGCAACCTGATCATATGTCGTCTGCATTCATTTTCTTGCTCTGAAAAATATTTCCAGCATGAGTTAGCTTTAAATTTAGATGCATAACTTTTGCCATACTGAAATGTTGCAGGGGCAGTGTGACAAAGTGAGTGGTAATGGCTTCAAACTCACCAATAATTAATGATATCAACAGCAAATTGGATAGAGGCTTGTTGGACATGGGGAAATAATGGGCTATTGAAACTGACTGAGTTGCTCACTGAGAGCTGACAAAGGAATGGAAGGAACTTAAAACAGTCACAACCACTAAAGAGGAAAACTATTGTCATTAAAGTGTGACAAGTCCCCTGGACTGGATGACCTGCATTCTCAGAATTTAAAGGAAGTATCTGCAAAGGTAATTGATGCAATGGTTCTAATGTTCTACAACTTCTTAGTTTCTGGAAAGGACTCCGCAGACTGGAAAACTATAAATGTAACACCAATATTCAAGAAAAGAAGGATACAGAAAGGAGGAAACTAGAGGCTAGTTAATTTAGCATCTATCATTGGGAAAATGTTGGACTCTATTCGTAAAAATGTAAAAGCATGGCATTTAGAAATTCATAATATAATCAGGCAGTATTAACATGGTTTTGTAAAGTGAAAATCTTGGTATACAAATTCATTCCAGTTCTTTGAGGACGTAACAAGCAAGGTAGATAAAAGAGAACCAGTGGATGTAGTTTATTTAGATATCTAAATGCATTTGATAAAATGAATAGTTTACTGCATAAGAGTGGTATTGGGGTGATATATCAGCTCAGCTAGAGAAATGGCTAATGAACAAGAAAAATAGAGTAAGGATAATGGGGTCATTTAGAGATTGGCAAGTTGTAACCTTGTAGAGCTAGAGGGATTGGGTAGCATGGTGGCTCAGTGGTTAGCACTGCTGCCTCAAAGCACCAGGGACCCAGATTCAATCCCAGCCTCAGGTGGCTGTCTGTGTAGAGTTTACACATTCTCCCTGTGTCTGTGTGGGTTTCCTCTGGGTATTCCTGTTTTCTCCCACAGTTCAACCATACGCAGGTTAGGTGGATTGGCCGTGGTAAATGTGGGGTTATGGTAATAAGGTAGGGCTGGATCTGTGTGGAATGTTGTTCAGCGGGTTGTGCAACTCAATGGGCTGAATGGCCTCTTTCTGTACTGTAGGGATTCCATGATCAGTATTGGGGCCTTGATTGCTTATAATCTATATCAATGACTGTATGTATTGTAGCCAAATTGGCAGATGATACAACGAGAGAAAGGAAGGCAATTCGTGAAGAGGATGTCAGATGTCTGCAAAGGGACACAGATAGGTTAAGTGAATCAGAAGATGAAGAATAATGAGGGAAAATGTGAGGTTGTCCACTTTGGGAGGAAGAATAGAAAAGCAGACTATTATTTAAATGGAAAGACCAAAGAACTGTGCGGTACAAAGGGATCTAGCTATGCTAAATGTACATGAATCACAACAAGTTAGCATACAGGTACATCAAGTATTTAACAACACAAATGGAATGTTGGCCTTTATTACAAGAAAGCTGAAGTATAAAAGTAGGGAACCCTTGCTAAATCTATGGTTGTGAAGTTGGCTACAGTACTTGTGAATTAGAAGGCAGGATTTTAGAATTTGTTTGTTAAAATGATAGGGGGAAGAGTGCAAGGTCGCTTTAAGAGGTGATGTGCTTTCCTAAGCTTCGGATAAAAAAAATGCCTGCAAGAAGCTGCCTATACGCAGACAGTTCTGAAATTGAAACATATGTATCAATTGGCTGTGGGGTTGGCAACCTAGGCTTGTTCTGACATTTAGGCAAACAGCCTGAGTTTCAGTCAGTTAATTTAAACCAGGCCCTAGATACCCAAACCCAATTAAATTTAAATCTGATGGTGTTAACAATCTAGGACCAATCTCATTATAAGAAAATTGACAGGGTATATAAGAAGAGGGGTTTTTTCCCAAATTGGGTGAAACTAACATCGGAAGGTTAAAACCCTGGCTCTCACAAAAATCTTTAAGCTGTCTGATTAAGCACCATCTAAAAGGTACCACAGCATTCTTAGCTAATATTTCTGACACAAGCGTTCGACAAAAGAAGAATTCTCAACTAAAGAATGGTGGAAAGGGTACGAAACATTCTGAAAGATGCAACCTGACTGTAGTTTTGGGAGTCTAAATTTTAATTTATTTTTTCTTATTACTTTGGTTTATATAAGTGGGACTTATATTTATTGGAACAGCATTGCATTAGACTTTTGTTCTATTTGGGATTAGTAGTTAAGGGGGAATTGTTCAGTTTGTTAGTAGGTCTGTTAATTTGTTCACTGTTAGAGTTAGATGAATAAATTGTTACTTGTTGCTTATTAAGTCAAGTCTAGGATCTGGCTGGTTTGTGTATGGGATCTGAATGGATCTGAACAAATTTGGACAGATTTGAACAAATTTGGGGTATGAAAGGCTCCAGCAAATTTAAACAAACTTAGGGATTAGTGTCCTAGATCTTTAAATAAAACTTGGGTGAGAGGCGGAAAATCTGTTTAATTTTGGTTACTTGAGGTTGGTTAAATCAAAAGTGGGGAAATGGCTCTTTACATTGCTAAAGGGGTTCTGGGGTTTGAGGATGCTTCCCAAATTTGCCAACAAAGTTCAGAAGGACAGAGGAAGGATGTACTTTTAGACTTAGTAAACAAGCAAAATTTGGGTTTAACTAGGGATAAGAGGAAAGCTGAAATTGTAATGGAGTTAGCCAAACATTTAGGTATATCAGAGAAACAGTCAAGTGCAGTGGAGTTAGAAAAAAATTAAATTGCAAATGAGATAACTGGAGTTAAAAAATGAAAGGAAGCAGAGAGTGTGTGAATTACAGTTAAAAGCAGATGAGAAAGAAAGGGAAAGAAGATTCCTAGCTGAGAAAGAAAGGGAAAGAAGATTCCTAGCTGAGAAAGAAGAAAGGGAAAAAATGTTCAAATTGGAAAAGATGAAGAAGGAACTTGAAACAAAAAGACTTCAAATGACAGAGGTAAAAGTACAAGATAGAAGTGATGATGAGCTAACTCATCGTAGCTAACAGCCTGATAGGGAAACATATACAAATATGCCCAAACATTACCAAAATTTGAAGAAAAAGATGTTGAAGCCTTTTTAATTTCCTTTGAGAAATTGGTTAAATAGATGAATTGGTCAGAGACTATGTGAGTAATCTTAATTTAGACCAAGTTGGTAGGCAGGTCTAGTGAGGTGTTTGCAATGCTGTCAGAGAAGGTATCAGGAGACTATGAAGGAGTGAAACAGGCTATTTTGAGTGCCTACAAATTGGTACCAGAAGCATATAGACAACGGTTCAGAAATATAAGGAAGAAATCAGGTCAGACTTGTGTCAGGTTTGAAAGAATTAAATGTAGCAACTTCGATAGATAGGTAAGAGCATTAAAGATAGAAAAGGCATAGGAGAACCTTAGAGATATTATTCGGCCGGAGGAGTTCAAAAACTCAAAAGATAATAAGAATTCATGTTGAGGAACAGAAAGTTACCAAAGTAAGAAGAGCTGCAGAGATGGCGGATGAATACACATTAGTGCATAAATCGAAGTTTAGCTTCTGAGAGCAATTTCATTCCATGTGGGATAAAAATTGGGAAAAAGGGAGATCCTTCAATGAAAAACAAAAAGTAGATCACACTGGAAGCAGTTTACCACAAGTAAAAAGAACTCAATTGTGTGAAAAAGAGGTAAAAAGTCTCAGGTGTTTTCACTGTAATGGAGGGGAACACACAAAATGACAGTGCTGGTGGATTAAGAGAGGCACTGAGAAAAAGGATGTGGTAAAAGGCGCTAACCCAGTGGGATTAATTGAGGTAGTGAAGGAAATCCCAAGAGAAGTTGAGGAGCTACAGGAGACTGCACAGCCTAGTTAGAGCTGGAAATGAGACAGTGCCCAATCTCTACAAAGACTTCACCTCTATGGGTAAGGTTTACTCAGGAAAAACAGGGGGAAGGTAAAGAAGTTAAAATATTGAGAGATACAGGAGCTGGTCAGTCTCTAATAGTAAGAGATGAAAGTATTCGCACTTCTTCCAAAATGTTACCCGAAAGAGTGATAATCTGTGAAATAAATAGATTTAATGTTCCCCTGTGTAAGTTAAGGCTAGAAAATCCGATCAAGACTGGGGAAGTGACAGTGGGAGTGACTGAAAGAAAGTCTATTCCAGGAATACAGTTTGTTCTTGGAAATGACCTGGCCGGATCAAAGGTGGGAGTAATGCCCCTTGTAATGGAGAAGCTGAACGAAATCTAAAATTCGTACATTTTCCCGTGGGGATAAAGTATTGGTGCTGTTACCTGTAGTAGGAGATCCCTTCACAGCAAGGTTTAGTGGTCCCTATCAGATTGAGAAGATGTTAAGTCAGGTGAATTATCTGGTATAGATGCCAGATAGGAATAAACTTTATTGGGTATGTGACGTGAATATGATGAAACCCTACTATGACCAGGAAAAGGATCCGGAGAAACAGGTGTTAGTCACCTGCCCCTCAGAGCGGGTAATCAAATCCAGATAATTTGAGTTTTGATGTGCCTCAAAATAAGTTAAATAATGAGGAAATCCTTAAAGAATGGGATAGAGTAGTAAACTATCTGTCTCAGGAACAGAGAACTGAACTGAAAGGTTTGTTGCAGCACTATGAGGACATAGGTAGGAATAGAATGGGGAGAACTATTACTATAGTACATGATGTTGATGTAAGGAATCCTGTTCTGATAAAACAACACCCCTACAGGCGTAATCCTCTCAAAGGAACAGAGGTACAGAAGGAGGTGGAAGCAATTCTCCAAGAAGACATCATAGAGATGAGTCAAAACGAGTGGAGTTTTCCGATCGTGTTGGTTCCCAAACCTCATGATACTTAATCGTTCTGCATGGATTATCAAAAGGTCAACACCGCACCTAAATCAGGCTTATACGCAAATCCAAGCCTGGAAGGCTGTGTGGAAAAACTTGGACAAGCTACTTATATCACAAAGTTGGACTTACTTCGTGGT